ACGGCTTCTCCACCTTGTGAGATCTTTATTGTATGACAAGTTCGGATTTTTTTACAATTTCCCACACTCACTTGTAAGTAGCCTCCTCCCCTGTGTGAGACCTCTGATGATGTTTATAAAGAGTGACCTTCTGTGAAAAACATTTCCCACACTCAGAACAGGAGTATGGCTTTTCACCCGTGTGAGACCTCAAATGTATGACAAGTTCTGATTTTCGTATAAAACATTTGCCGCACTCAGAACAGGAATACGGCTTCTCCCCTGTGTGAGATCTGTTATGTTTGTAAAGACTGGAATGCGTTGTAAAACATTTCCCACACTCTGGACAGGAATATAGCTTCTCCCCAGTGTGAGACCTTTGATGTACGGCAAGTTCTGATTTTTGTACAAAACATTTCCCACACTCAGTACATGAATACGGCTTCTCACCTACATGCAATCTCAGATGTCTGGAAAGATGTGACTTGTATGAAAAACACTTCCCGCACTCAGGACAGGAATACGGCTTCTCCCCCGTATGAGATCTCTGGTGACTGTAAAGAATGAACTTTTGTGCAAAACATTTCCCGCACTCAGAACAAGAATATGGCTTCTCACCTGTGTGAGACCTTTCATGTTTGACAAGATCTGATTTTTGTGCAAAACATTTCCGGCACTCAGGACATGAATATGGCTTCTCACCCAAATGCAATCTCTGATGTCTGGAAAGATGTGACTTGTCTGAAAAACATTTCCCACACTCAGGACAGGAATATGGCTTCTCCCCTGAGTGAGATCTTTTATGCACATTAAGATGGGATTTATAACAGAAACCCTTCCCGCACTCAGTACAGGAGAATCTCTTCTCTGCTGGATGGCAGGCCCGGTCCCGCACAGTCTGAGGTTCCTCAGGATACGAGGAATCCGATGGTCCATCTACACTGGGTGGTGCCGGATGGACATTGGAGGGAGCCGGGTTTTCTCCTGGACTATACTGTGTGATGTCCTCATCTTCTACTTTCCAGTCTGGAGACAAAGTGAGACAATCCTCGGAGGTTTTCCTCATCTCCCGGCCATGGACTAAAATACAAAGACAAAGAGGATTACTAGACAGGAGCTGATTGGTTCCCCCAAACCAGGACTCCACCCACATCAGGCAAGATGGGGAACACAGCACAGGAAAGTGACCAGGGGATTACAGGCTGATATCACCCAGTCCCCGCCCTACTCTGGACCAATCAGTGAGCAGTATGGGTGGAGGAATGGATTTAGTGTTCATGACCCACCTGTGCTGATCTCTGTAGGAGTGTCCTCCTCTATAAATGTCCCCGTTATTCCATCCTCCTCCATAGACTGCTGATCATCCCTCACATACGCCTCTTCTTCTTCTGCTTTCACCTCAAATTCTATATCGATTGGATCTCCACTCTAAATCAAGGAAATATATTCTCTGTAAAAAAAACTCACATAAAAAAAACTCCACACACATCATCTTTACAAGTCCATGTTTTAGATGCTCCATCCCACCAACCTTGTAATGATGAGGGATGGTGTGACATTCCTGTGTGGAATCCCGGGAATCCAGAGGACGGGGACATCTCTCTGGTGGGTTCCTGGTATTAGGTGGCTCCATCATATCCTTGTGTCCTTCTGAAAACTCCTCCATCACTCCATACTCCTCATCCTCCTCTTTATACTCTTCTTTAACATCAATATTCTCATCCCCGAGGATTCCACTCTGAAAGATATAATAAAACATTCATTGTAACAAACATGCTGTGTATAAATCACAACTACCAATAATTGTCATCATCTACCTGATGATGGTGAGGGATGGTGTGACCTTCCTGTGTGGAATCCCGGGAATACAGAGGACGGGGACATCTCTCTGGTGGGTTCCTGTAGCTGGATGACTCCTCCATGGTGTCCTGGTACAGATCTTTGTGTTCTTTTAGAAGCTCTGACTCCTCCATCCCCCCATCCTCATCCTCCTCCTCTTTTATATCTCTTCTTTAACCTCAACTTTAGGATCTCCCAGGTTTCCACTCTGAATATATAATAAAAATGACATCAATGGTAACAATGCAGATAATGTACAGATCCTAATGATACTATCAGTGATTGTTCCTCATCTACCTGATGATGGTGAGGGATGGTGTGACCTTCCTGTGTGGAATCCCGGGAATACAGAGGACGGGGACATCTCTCTGGTGGGTTCCCATGACTGGATCCATCTGTAGGAAACACACACACTGACTGAATCCATTGTTTCTATGTGTTTATCAGATGATGGGGGATCTAGGTGGATCCTCCGTACTGCTCTCTCCTTTACAATAAAGTCTCCTCTTACCCGGTGATGTGAGGGGCGGCTGATTGTCCATCATGACGTCCTTGTAGAGATCCTTGTGTCCTTCTAAATACTCCCACTCCTCCATGGAGAAATAGACAGTGACACCCTGACACCTTATAGGAACCTGACACACACAATGATACAGTCACCACCATCCAGACACATCCCTTGTCTGTTACTGGAGAATGTCCCAGAATTCCCGGCACCGCTCACCTCTCCTGTCAGCAGCTCAGTGATCTCTCTGGTGACTTCTAGAATCTTCTTCTTCTTTCTCTCTTCTATCAGGGAGGGAGGTGGAGGCAATGTGATGTCATATGATCTCCAGACTTCACAGGAGGAAAACTCTACATCTGAACACAAATAGTCACATCAAATGATATTCCCAGAATCCTCCTCACCTCTCCATTCAGGTCTCCATTTTATTAAAGCCCCACTTCAGGCTGAGATATATAGCGCATCCAAGAGACCAAGCCGGGGTCACTACACAGAAAATCAATCCAAGGAAACAACAGGCAGGACGAGGAATAGCAAGATGGAGCTGAGAGACAAATGAGAATATTGCTCAGCCAATGGGAGATGATCTCAGCATGACTTCCATCATGAAGGAGATGAGGGGGAGGGGAGGAAGTCACTGAAGGTGACCATAGATCCATGGAAATTCAGCTGGTTCAGCAGGGATCGCTCACATTTCCATCCATGTGTGGCTACTGTCGGATAAAAGCCACTCCCCCAGCGGCTGCAGCCAATAGCTTCAGTGCTGATCCGTGTATTCTGAGAGCGGAGGAGTCCCCCCCATTGTCAGAATACAAGAGTGCAGCGGGGAGGATTCCCCCATCCACCTCCAATGTGTGGATGGGGGAATCACTTCAGGTTTTATGGTCATCCCGCTGCCTGAACGATAAAACTGAACCATGTAGGCCAGCTTTGGGAGCAAATATATTATCATCAACTCCTCCCCCTGAAGGGGATAATCTATGTATCCGGCCACTTCCCAATTCCTCCACCTAACCTCCTCCTTCGCGCTCACACAGCACACGCAATCCTCCACCCACATCGGAGGGAACACCCTGGACCTCATCTTCTCCCACCTCTGTACCCTCAACCAGTTCTCTAACACCCCCTCCCCTCTCTCCGACCACCACCTCATCACGTTCTCCATCTCCCCTTCCCCCAACTCCCCCCCCCAAAAACGCCAAACCATCACCAGCCGCAATCTCCGCAACCTGCACCCGGCCCCCCTCCACTCAGCCGCCGACCGCCTACACGACAGCATCCTCCCACTGTCATGTCCTGACCTAGCCACCACCATGTACAACGACTCACTATCAGCTGCCCTAGACTCTCTGGCACCCCTAACCACACGCATCATCAAACCCAGACCTTCCAACCATGGCAGACTGACCACACTAAATGCCTCAAACATCGCAGTCGTGCACTGGAGAGACTGTGGCGCAAAACCAGATCCCCTCACGCATTCTCCCTCTACAAATCTGCCTTCCTCACTTACACCTCCTTCCTCCACGCCGTCAAGCAGGCCTACTTTGTTAACCTAATCAACACCCTCTCCTCCTGCCCTCGCCGACTCTTCTCCACCTTCAACTCCCTGCTCTCTCCCCCCCTCCTCCACTCAGTACCTCACTCACCGCCCACACGAGATTGCCACCCATTTCCGTAACAAGATTGACACTATCCGTAAGGACATTGTCAACTCGCAATCTACCCCCCCACCTAGCCTCCTCACCCCCGTCACCCCTTCTTCTCCCCCCCCTCCTCTGCCCTCCACCTCTCCCAAGGCCCCGCCCACCGTAACCCCCCCTGCACTGCACTCCCTCAGCCCTGTTACTACTGAGGAAATCGTCAAGGTCCTCTCAGAAGCCCGCCTCACTACCTGCCCCCTGGACCCTATCCCCTCTCAACTCCTCCGGTCACCCCCCTCTTCCCTCATCCGTTCCCTCACCCACATCTTCAATCTCTCCCTCTCTACTGGTGCATTCCCCTCCCCCCTAAAGCACGCACATATCACCCCCATCCTCAAAAGCTCTCTCTCTATCCCGCGGACCCCAACAACCTCAGAGCCATCTCCCTGCTGCCACTCACCTCCAAGCTCCTTGAGCGCCTAGTCTACGATCGCCAAAGCCCCCACCTTATTGACAATAACCTCCTTGACCCACTACAGTCCGGCTTCCGTCCCCTACACTCCACTGAAACTGCCCTCCTCAAAATCACTAACGACCTACTAAACGCCAAAGCCAAGGGCGACTACTCTGTCCTCCTTCTCCTGGACCTCTCTGCGGCCTTTGACACAGTTGACCACCCCCTCCTCCTTAATAAACTACTCTCCCTTGGCATCAGAGACACCGCTCTCTCCTGGTTCTCCTCGTACCTATCCCGACGCTCCTTCAGCGTCACCTACAATGGTGCCACCTCCCCTTCCCTCCCCCCTCTCTGTTGGGGTCCCCCAAGGCTCTGTCCTTGGACCCCTTCTCTTCTCCATCTACACCTCCTCTCTGGGCAAACTCATACACTCCCATGGCTTCAATTATCACCTCTACGCTGATGACACCCAAATTTAACTCTCCACCCCCTCTCCTCACCCCCACTATCTCCGCCCGCATCACTCACCTCCTAAATGACATCTCAGACTGGATGTCGCTCCATTTCCCTCAAGCTCAACTTCTCCAAAACCGAACTCCTCATCTTTCCCCTGCCCCCCCCCCCATCCTATCCATCACCACCACCAACACCACTATCACTCCCGCCCCGCAAGCCAAAGTCCTTGGCGTCATTCTTGACTCGAACCAATTCCTTCCTCCCTCATGTCAAATCACTTACAAACACATGCAGGCTCCATCTCCGCAATATTGCCAAGATACGTACCTTCCTCACCCCAGACACCACCAAACTTCTTGTACACTCCCTCATCATCTCACGCCTTGACTACTGCAACTCTCTTCTCACCTGGCCTACCCAAGTGCAGGCTCTCCCCGCTCCAGACCATCCTGAACTCAGCGGCCAGACTCATCCACCTCACCACCCGCTCCACCTCTGCCACCCCCCTCTGCTCTCCCTCCACTGGCTCCCGATTGCCCAACGCATCAAATTTAAACTTCTAATCCTGACCTACAAAGCCGTTCACAACACTGCCCCTGACTACCTCACCAATGATCCCCAAGTACCACCCCACCCGTACCCTTCGCTCCTCACTGGACCTCCTTCTATCCTGCTCCCTGGTCTCCTCCTCCCATGCACGACTGCAAGACTTCTCCAGGTCCTCCCCCATCCTCTGGAACTCACTGCCCCAATCCATCCGACTGTCACCTTCCCTCTCCACATTCAGGCGTTCCCTCAAAACCCATCTCTTCAGGGAAGCCTACCCCACCCTCACCTAACGGCCATTCTCCCTCATTCCTCCCACCACTTCATCCCCCTCAGCCACTTCCTATTGTTCCACTACCCCCTCCCTCCTAGATTGTAAGCTTGAAAGAGTAGGGCCCTATAACCCCTCGTGTGCTGTCTGTTTTTGTTGTACTGTTTCATGTATTGTCCCCCCCCTCTATTGTACAGCGCTGAGCAAACCCTTTGGCGCTATATAAACTCCATGTAATAATAATAATAATGTATTACCTCCTCTGCCACCAGATCCAGGAATGTCTCCTCTCTACTTCCTTATTTATGTAACTTCCTGTCTGTACCTGACATCACTTCCTGTCTGTACCTGACATCACTTCCTGTCTGTACCTGACATCACTTCCTGTCTTCCATAGAGGCTTGATTTTGCAGTAACATTGATTGCAGATTTAGTCGTGTAGAACATCTGGCTATATGGATACAAGCCCCCCCCCAGCGGAGAGTGATTGAAGTAGATGCAAAGTGGAAGCGGAGGAGGTAATCTGTATATGAATCCCTTCAGGGGGATGAGTTGATCTTTGTCCTAACACAATGTATACCGTCCTCCACTCACTCTGATGGGAATACATTAGACCTTGTTTTCTCCCATCTTTGCACTCCCTACAACCTCACAAACACCCCCTTTCCTCTCTCTGATCACAATCTCATCACCTTCACAGTCTCCTCGTCTTCAAACACCTATCCCTCCAAGCAGCCAACAATTACCCGCAGAAACCTTCACAACTTGAACCCGGCTCCTTTCCACTCTGCAACTGACCAACTCTATGACAGAATCTCTCCCCTGTCCTGCCCTGACCTGGCCACTGCTGTCTACAACAGTTCACTGTCATCCACACTGGACTCACTTGGTCCTCTAACAACACGAAGCCTCAGGCCCCTACCATTACATCCGTGGCAGACTGACCACACCGGACATCTTAAGTGACATAGTCGTGCGCTGGAGCGATTGGCGTAAAACCAAATCTCAGCAAGCATTCACCCGATATAAATCTGCTTTCTTCACATACAATTCCTCCCTCCATGCTGCCAAACAAGCCAACTTTGTCACTCTCATCAATACCTTGTCATCCAGTCCTCGTCATCTCTTCTCTACTTTTAACTCTCTACTTTCTCCACCTCCACCCAGCACCTCACTCACTGCTCATGAGATTGCAAATCATTTCAAAAACAAGATTGATGCAATTCGTAGGGGCCTCTCCTCTGCAGAGACATCCATCCCACTTACCATACCTTATACTAAACCTCCCTCAACACTTTCCTCTTTTGACCTCGCTACTACTGAAGAGGTCACTAAGGTTTTCTCAGAAGCCCATCTCACCACCTGCCCCCTGGATCCTGTCCCCTCACAACTACTACAGTCACCCTCTTCTTCCATCCTATGCTCCCTCACTCACATCTTCAATCTTTCCCTCTCTACTGGTGCCTTCCCCTCCCCTCTAAAGCATGCGCACATCACTCCCATACTTAACAAGCCCTCCCTGGACCCCACCCACCTGAACTACTTAAGACCCATCTCCCTGCTGCCATTTACCTCTAAACTCCTAAACTCCTAGTCTACAATCGCCTGAGCTCCTCCCTCACCGACAACAACCTTCACCCTTTACAGTCTGGCTTTCGCTCACTACACTCCACTGACACCGC